CTGTGTGCGTTGGTAAGTCAGTGCGGGAGTTGGAAAACACGTAAGGGGGGTCTTCATGGAATCCGTACACGGTGGCGAGCTGATCGCAGGGCGCTGGTCGGAGGCTAAGCAGCTGCATGCCGCCAGACGCGCAGTTAAGGAAGAAGGTGAAGACGAACGAGTGCAGGACGCGCGGATCCTGCTTGGCCGCAAACAACGCACACACGAGCACGAGCGCTCGCTCGTTTTCCGCCAACAAGCGCGCTACCTCGACTTCGTAATCTACGAGCATGCATGTCCTGTGGTGGGAGGGGAGGTGAGATTCAGTGCAATGTCAGCCGGCTTCAGGTGCGCGTTTAGTTCAGACAACGGGTGGCTGATGCGAGTACCGAAGTACGGGGTTTGTGCGAAGCATTCGCCCTATGTATGCTTCGGCATCGAAAGCCATCTGGCGTCGTATTCGCACGATCGTGCCTGATGGCATCTCATGTGTGCTCGCACGGCTCAGCTCCCACTCGATGATGCGTATAGCGCACCCTGCAGGTGACTCACTTTAGGCAATCGATTGGCACGACGCGCTCGCGCGTTGCTGATCCCGGGTTTATCATACCTGTGTTAAGCAATAGGTACTTGGGCGGAAGAAACGAGAGGTGGGGCCGATACTTGCACGTTGAAGCATGCACCTGGTACGTGAGATGGACCGAACGATCGCGGTCTGTCCACGGGTCACTGTCTTCACGAGCGGACAACGTTTATCAGCTGCACGAGAAATGCAACTCAGCCACACAGCACACAAGGGGAGAGGCGAACCCCCAAAACACGGCACGATGCTGACGTAGTTTGCGTGAGGCGTCGCCAGCTGCTTGTCGCCTGCGTCGTATCCGTGCACAACTGGAGGAACGAAGAAGCTGGATAAGAGGTGGAAGAACCTGTAGGGTGGACAGCTTGGTGCTGTAGTACGTACTCATAACGTTGTATGGCGTGAGGGTGAAGCTCAGGCGCAAGAACCCAGCCACCGTCGGACTGCCGTCTTCATTCCTGGCCACGAACAATGGCTGCTCTTCGACCTGGCGTTGTGTCACGTCATGGGTCAGTCAACGCTACAAGGCGCTTCATCACAAACAACAAGCTGGAGTGGACCCACCAGTCGAAGCGGCACCCCCTTGCCGACGAAGAGCCACCGCTGCAGCGCGTATGTGTAGCACCCGCTCTCCTCTGCGCCTCCGTCCATCTCGTCGCCTTCAGCCGCCTGCACTCGGCATGTGTATGACACTACACGGTGTCAGCTCGCGGCCTTCCAAAGGAGTGAAAAATGGGGACAAGCCGCCGTACGAAGATGGTTGGCGTCGGGCAGGAAAGTGAGCAAGACGCAGCCCCGCTCAAGAATGCGCTTGTCGTCCATGAGACCAGCCAACGGCACTCGTAGCCTCTGCGGCACCCACCCCGCCGGGAACCAGCCACCCATACCACCCTTCGTCAGAACCCTTCCTCCAGCCGCGGCCGTCGCTGCACGGCCCGTCAGTTCCCTTTGCTGCAATCTGTGCGCCAGCGAACCCATTCGATTCAACCTCCCCGCTTGATCCCGCTTGTGCACTCTTTTTTTTTCAATTTTTTTGTTTTCTTCCCGCTCCTTTTTTTGGCGGGAAACTTTCGCGCCAAATAAAATACAAGAAAATGCCAAATATATCTCGTCGCCCTGTTATCAAAAGAACGAGCAGAAATGGTGCGCGATCGTGTGCGATGAGAGGTGATTCAATGAACGGCGCCGGACAATTCCCGACCAACACAGTTTCCGTTGACGTTGTGATTGGTGCTTTAGCGAACAACAAAATTAATTGCACACAAAAGAAAGCGACGTACCGTTACCCCTTTGCGCCCCCCTGCATCCATCTTCTTTCCATCTCCTCCTCATCCTCATCCTCCTCTGCCCGTGGCCTCGATGATGGAAGTCGTGAATAATACCAAGGACGGCCCCGGCTCCTCCTCCTCCGTCGTCGCGTCTCTCCCTTCTGCTCCATCTCTCATGGATTCCCCGGGGCGAGCCAAGATCGCCGTCGCCACCCTCATCCAATCCTTCACCCCGCCCGCCCCCGCTTCCGCCCCCGTCACCACCACCGCCACCTCCCCCGGCCGCGCCGCCGCCTCCCCTGCAGCCGTGCAGGTGCCGCCCTCGCCTCGCAGCGGCCCGCCGACGCCCCTGGCGGCGGGCATGTCGCCTCGCAAGGCGGACCGCCCCAGGTCGCGCAGCGGCGGCCCGGCCGGCTCGGCCTCGCCCCTGGCGGCGGTGGTTCAGGTGGACCAGGTGACCGGTGGTCCAGGTGTTGATGACGTGGCACAACAAGAACGAGAAGAGAAAAAGAACGAAAGCGAAGGGCAGGGGGGAGGAAGAACGAAGGGCGGCGGCGGCGACGCGGGGTCGCCGCGTAGCGTGGGCGGGAAGGAGTGGGAGTGGAAGCGCAAGGCCCTGGCCGGGAAGGGCATCGTGCGCGAGGGCGCACCGCCCGCCGACGGCGAACCCGCCGGCTCGACCCGGGTCAAGCTGCCCCTGGCCTCCCTGCTCCACACCATCGAGACCGACCGCATGCTGCTCGTCTCCTCCAAGAGCGACACCTGGAAGGCCAAGGCCCTCACCGGCCGCGGCATCATCCCCTCGCCCGACACCTTCACCTCTTCTTCCTCCTCCTCTTCCTCTCCATCGTCGCCCGTCGTCTCGATCTCGCCGCACGTCTCGTCCCTGTCGGCTCCCCTGCCGGCCCTCTTGTCGCCGCGCCAGCCCATTCCCTCCGGCCCTGCGGCGCCCGCGGCGGCCACGACCGGCAGCGGCAGCGGCAGCGGCGGTGGCGGTGGCGGCGACGACGGCAGCGAAGGCGAGGGCAGCGGCAGCGGCGGCGATCGGAAGAAGGGCAATGCCGGTGCCAAGGGGGAGAAGCGGGCGTCGCGGAAGGAGAACAAGCGGAACAACCACAACAAGGTGGTGACGGAGGTGTCGCTGCCGACGACGGTGGTGAACAGGGTGCACGTGGACAAGGACAACCTGGCGCAGGACATGGACGGGGTGCTGCGCGCGCTGCACGGGGAGCTGGAGCGGCTGGGCAACCACCACGAGACGCAGCAGCAGCACCAGCAGTCGACGTCGACGCGCGGCGGCGGGCTGAGGCGCCACCGGCGATCAAAGTCGATCGACCAGCTGGCCGGGCACCAGGCGCTCAAGCCCGAGCTCAAGGGCGACCACAAGGAGAAGGAGAAGGAGAAGGGCAGCAAGGCCGAGGCACCGGCATTCGCCTTCCCGCTGGTCACCACCACCACCACGCGCCAGGACAAGCCCGTGAGCAAGCTGCACACCTCAGCTGCGTACGTTCGCACGCACACGCACACGCACACGCACACGCACACGCACACGCACACGCACACGCACACGCACACACCGCACGCACACGCACACACCCCACACATCGATGCATGGCTGACGTGTGTGCCGCGGCGTGTTTGTAGTGCGCCGAATACTGCGCCGCTCGTCAAGCTGCCGGCGGCCGGCGAGCCCCGGAAGACGAAGACCAACAGCCTGCGCCAGCAGCTGCTGCTGGGCAAGGGCGTCGTGAAGCCGCAGGACAAGCGAACCGTACGCTTGGCCCGCTACTTCTACCGTTCTTCCATTTGACGCACCCCGGCTCACCCGTTCGGCGTGTTGTGTGTGCGTGCGTGCGTGCGTGTGCGTGTGCGTGTTCGGCACGCAGGTACCGGTCTCGCGCCTATCGGTGCTCATCGACATGGCCGACATGCAGGCCATCCACCAACAGGCGTCCGTCCTCGAAGCTGCCGCGCGCAAGCAATCGTCACCTTCTTCGCCTGGTTCGTCCCGCTTCGCTTCTGCACACGTCGTGTGTGCAACGCGCTCACTCATACGCGTGTGTGGCGTGTGCGTGTGCGGCGTGTGCATACAGTGCTGCTGAGTGGTGGTGACTACCAACCAACAAAGGAGGACCTCGTCCGACAGAGACTGAAGACGGTCAAAGCGGTGATAGCATCGGCCATGGACGAGCTCGAGTACGAGCTCCTGCACCAGCGCAACAGCGCTGAGTCGGCGTCGGGGGAGGACCAGCTCATCGCGCTGACCACCAAGCTCCACCAGCTCAACGACCTCCTGATGTAAAGGCTACACGCGAGGCCCCGATGTAAATACTCTATCGTGGTGAACCACCACCTTGTGCGTCTACTCGACGCCACCGTCATCATCGTCATCACCAATATATTTTAATTCTAGCTCACGTGGCGAGCGTTTGCAAAGCAAACCAAGACAGTGAGCGAAGAACGTGTTCGGTCAAGATAAGATGATGATCAGTTGTCGACGGAGAAGACCAGAACGGTGCTGTCCTCCGAGGCGCTCACCACCGTCTTGCCATCACTGGTCATGTGCGGGTTGGAGATTAGTACTGTCGCGTTGCGACACGACACGACACGACACGACACGCGTGAAGGTACCTGGAGACATCAAAGTCGAGGATCATGTCCTGGTGACCCAGCCACGACCGCACCTGCGTGGCCGTGCGCGCGTCCCACAAGCGGATCGTTCGGTCCGTGGAGCAGGAGAAGAGCAGCGGCTCCTGCGGGTGCCACTTGATCTTCACCACTCCGTCTTCGTGGCCTGGCGGTGTGGTGAACGCGTGTCAGAGCCCCGCGGGGGCGGGTCTTAAGATCACCATGGCGCCGGGGGGGTGTGTGGTATATACCCTGGCAGGTCTGTCGGTACTGGCCCGTGTTGAGGTCCCAGATTCGGATGGTGTTGTCCATCGAGCCCGTGGCGATGAACGGGTGTCTGGTGCATTGTCATGAAGATGAAGATGATGATGAAGATGATGATGAAGATGATGATGGTATACAGAGTGGTCAGTGCGAACACACGGCGTCGCGTTGGAATGTTGATGGCAAGGGCGAGGCGTACGAGTGACAGAAGCCGACGGACTCCACAGAGTTTTCGTGACCCTTCAGATCGGCCAAGGTCTGAAACACCAAAAGGTCAGCAGCGTGCACCACACCGGCCACCGGTCGCAGACAGTTCACCACCGGTGTTGGTGTTATGGCGGTGGTACCTTGGCGGTGGCGTAGGAGACGAGCTTGGCCGTCTTGTCGTGCGAGCCCGTCAGCACGAGGGGCTTCTCTTCGTGCATGCTCATGCAGATCACGCCCTCTTCGTGGTAGCCGAACCCTGCACAGTTCGCCACACGCACACGCACACGCACACGCGCGCATGAGTCACGCGGCCCGCCGGTGGTGGGATTGGGGAGGGGGGTAGAGTGTTGCGTGTACCTTGGATGACGTGCTTGGGCTGCGCGGTCTTGGGATTCCACACGCGGAGTGTGGCGTCCTCCGAGGCGGTGAGGATGAGCTTGCCGTCGGGCGAGAACCCGCCGCAGGTCACCGGCCCGGCATGGCCCACAAACATGTTCATGCACTCACCTGCGCACCACGCACACGCACCACCGCACACGCACCACACGCACACGGCCCGTGTTGTCGGTCAGCGACGAGAGCGCGAGAGGGAGAACGAGGGAGCGGAGGGGGCCGTGACAGTACCGCTGGAGGCCAGCCACATCCACGCGGTGCCATCACCGGAGCCGGCCAAGAGCACGTTGCCGCGCTGATGCCACATCAGCCACTGGAACGAAGGGGGGTTGAATGAGGAAACGTTCGGGCGCGTCGGCAAGAACGAGAGCGAGAGCGAGCGAGAGAGAGAGAGAGGCGTACGTCCAAGCCCTCGCCGGGGCCTTCGAGGGTCTTGAGCAGCTCGCCGTTCTCTGTGTTCCAGATCTTGACGCAGGCATCGAGGCCCGCCGTGGCCACCAGCTTGCCGTCCTTGTTGAACCGCGCGCACGTGACGCTGTCCGTGTGCCCTGCATTGTCGTCAGCTCAGCCCATTCTTCGTTGGCCACTCGCACACGCGCACTTGATGAGGGCCAAGTGGTGGTAGTAGTAGTGGCAAGTAGTGGTGCACGCACCGGTGAGTTGCGCCTTCGTTTCGCCGCTGTCGGTTTGCCACAGGTAGGCCTGGTCGTCACCACCTCCGCTGACCGCCAGGCCCGGGATGGCCGAGCACAGCGACACCGTGTAGACCGGCTCTGCGGCATCAATCAGCATCGCGAGAGATTGATGAGAAATCACGTCAGAGGGAAAAAAACGCAATCGGCGATTTCGATGATGATGCTGCTGCAAGGTACCTTTGTGGGCGAAGAAGCCCTGGATGGAGTCATCAGGCAGCTCTTCCTCTTCACCTTCTTCGCCTTCCAGACCTTCGGCTTCCACATCTGCAAGTTCCATCTCCTCTAACGTTTCAGCGAGATCGCCCTCCTCGATGACGTCTTGTTCGTCAGCATCTTCGGGATGCTCCATCGGGGTCTCTTCGTTGTTCTTGCCTTCCATCGTTCCCTTGCGCTGATCTATTGTGCGTTGTGATTTTATAATGGATTTATTTGTTTTATGCTTTTACAAATAAATATTTGTTCTGTTTTATTTCTCGACTCCGCTTTTCTCGATTTAATTGATTTTCTGCATCAACAGCACTCGATCTTGCCAGAGATGGAGGTGAAGAAGTGTGCGGTATGCCAAAAGTCGGAGGGTGAACTGCAGCGATGCAGCCGATGCAAGGAGGTCCACTACTGCTCCCGTGAGCACCAGGTGCGTTTTCGCCCATTTCATTCGACAAGATCATGATCATCTTCCTTTAGCCTTGTAATGGTTGTTGATGTGGTGGTGCCTCTTCATCGCTCAATTAAATCCATTAAATTCATATAATTTCTTAATTTCTGCGGATTTTGGTGATTATCGATGGCAGGTGGAGGATTGGAAGAAGGGACACAACAAGGCGTGCAAGGCGCTCTTCATCGACCGAGTCGACAGGGCCTACGACGTCGGCCACGTCGGTCTCACCCACGACGGCACTCGCGTACGCTCTCATCTCTCCTTTTCCCTTCTTTCTTCCTCGCCTTCGACCATCACACCATCCTCATCATCGCCATCTTGTTGGTGTCTGTGGCCGGCGTTGCACAGCCGATCCACATGTTGACGAAGGACGACGTGCGAGACAGCGCCGGCGGGTGGTGGATGCTGCCCAGCACGAGCGTGACCACCGACGCCGAGGGCATCAACTGGGTCCAGGAGCACTTCGACACCAAGAACTTCAACGTCAAGTTCTTCCCCTGGACCGACGTCCTCGTCTGGTTCGTTCGTCGCCACAACCTGGACCCACCAAGCGTTCAACGTGTGCGCACAGTACTTGGCTCACACCGCACACACCACCGCACACACCACCGCACACACGGGCAGTCCGCTTTGCGAGAAGGAGTGCAAGGAGGGAGTGCTGGCGGCGCAGATCATGCACCGCGGGATGAAGGACGGCCAGCTGTCCTACATCCGGCCCTTCCCGCGCATCTTCCACCCGGCCTGCGTGGACCGCATCTTCGTGAGCCACCAGAAGGCCTACCCGCACGCCCAGGCCACCGCGCCTCAGCCCATCCAGGCCGCCTGGGAACTCATCAAGCCCGACGGTACACCCCCCCCTCGTCTTGTTCTGTCCTCTTCTTCTTCGTGTTCGCTGTCTGACAGGCGATGGTGTTGGTGATGGTGGTGATGATGATGTAGTGGACGAGCTGCAGGCGGGCCTGGCGCAGCACGACGACCAGTTCAGGACGACCCTCGACGCCAACAAGACGAAGGTGGCCAAGGACGTCGGTGTCATGTGATTACGTGGCCCGAAGAAGAAGAAGCAGCAGCAGCGAGGTGGAAGAGGCGGAGGTTCTATTAAAACAAGGGTGGGTGGTTACATACACAGAGCCAGCACGACAACGCAAGTGTGGAGGAAGAGGAGGAGAAAGGTGGGTGGGAGACGGCAGGGCTATCCGGTGTGAGTGGTGAAGAGGTAGAAGCGCAGCATAGAAGGAGGGGAGGAGAAGAAGAAGGGTGTGGGGAGGAGGTGGCTGGTTGTTGTGCTTTAGTAGTCTCTCTGTCTCGTTCGGGAGCTGTTGAAGAAGAAGAAGATGAAGATGATGACGATGGACGATGATGACGGTTCGATTAGGCGCAGCATCCGCCCTTCTTCTTGCCGATGTCCTCGCCAGCGCCAAGCACGATCTCGGGCTTCTTCTGCTGCTGCTCGCTGACGGCGACGCGTCTGTCGAAGATCTCCTTGACGAGGTGCATGAAGGCGTCTTCCACGCCCTGGCCGGCCTTGGCCGAGGCCTCGCTGAAGAGCATGCCCTGCTGGGTGGCGAAGGCCTTGGCCGTGGTGGCCTCGATCACTCGCTTGTTGTTCATGTCGGCCTTGTTGCCCACCAGCAGCTTGGTGACGTTGCCGCACGCGTAGCGCTCGATCTCGTTGAGCCACATCTTGGCGTTGTTGAACGAGGCCTGATCGGTGATGTCGTACACCACGATGATGCCGTGCGCCCCTCGGTAGTAGCTGCTCGTGATGGTACGGAACCGCTCCTGGCCAGCTGTAGGGCACACCGCGCGTGTTGCGTGAGTTGAGCTTACGCGCGTGCAGCAGCACAGCACCAAACACAAAGATGGATGAACGTAGAAGTGGTTGCAAGGAAAGGTGAAGAAGAATAAAAAAGTGAATGAAAGCGCTACGTGGCGTGTTGGGGATGGGCGAGAGGGGCAACGGAAGATCCGGTGCACAAGCAAACAGATGGAGGCGGTGCAAAGGTACCAGTGTCCCAAATTTGAAGCTTCACAACCTTGTCATTGATGGTGACGTTCCTGATCTTGAAATCCACACCGATGGTGCTGATGAAGGTCTCCTGAAACATGTCGTCCTAGATGCGTGAAAGCCTTCAGCGTTAGACGACCGGGACGCCCCGACATCATCCCACCTGGATCCGAAGGGGGGTACCGTAAATCTGAGAAGCAGAGAAGACTTGCCCACACCACTGTCGCCCACGAGCAAAATCTTGAACAAATGATCGCTGCATGATGCAGGCAGAGGATAGATTAATAAAGAGCTTCAGGTTGTGGGAGCAGTTCGTAGATTGGCCGTACTATTGATCCATTTCGAATTTGGGGAAGTGGAAAGAAGATAAGAAAAAAGAAGGTTAGAGAGGAGGCTGGCTCGTGGAATTGGATTCTAAAGATGAGGAAATCAAATCGTCGACCGGCTACAATCACCGGGCGTCATCGTCGACGGAACTTCCCTTCCTTGAACTGAAAACAATTTGAACTATTTTTGCATGCTTTGAATTGTTATCTTTTTCTTTGATAAAGATCCAATAAATCGTGCAAGTGATGAAGGGAAGCACGATTTTATTTTGGTTGTTGGTGGGACTGCTGGTGGCACAACTGTGGCTCGAAGTGTCCGCAGGCGAAGGCATGCACTACCTCGTACGCAACATTAATTCATTATTACTTTCTTGTGTTCCGATGATGAACACATTTAATGATGATGGCCTTGTTTTATGCTGCTGCCCAACCAGAAACGAGGCTTTCGAAAGAAGCAGATAGCCTGCCGTAAGGGGTGCGAAGATGCCGGCAACGTGGCGCTTGGCGGCCGGCGAGGAGCACCACGCCGGGGTGCCGGAGGCATTGGCCGCGAGGAAGAGCTCGCACTCGACGACCCTGTCGAGGACGATGACGACGCGTCCTGGGACGGGCTGGACGTGATCGAGGGCTTCGGGAGCGACGTCGGCAAGCGACCACTCGCGCCATGCGTTGCCAGATGCATCTCGCCCTACTGCTACGACCTCGAATACAACCGACCGGTGACTTCCCCGCTCATCGTGTGGGTATTGTGCGCGTCGTGCGTGTCGTGTGTGTCGTGCTGATTGGTTCGTGCCTGATCTGCAGTTGGAGCCTGGAGAAGTGGATGAGCGATACGACTTCTTCCGGAAGTGTTTCACTCTGGAGGCCGCGGAGGCCCGCAAGCGCGAGCGGACGCGACTCTACGACGAAGACGAAGACGAGTGACCCACCTTTCGTAAAAATTAACCAATTAACAATCAATTGAACATACAGCGCAGCACTCGTGAACGCCATCGCGCAGCGTACGACGGCCGTCGAGAGAGGTCGCCTATTGCAGGAGACAGTTCTCGCGCCCTCGTCGCGATCGGGTGGACTTCTTGGGCTTGCACATGACCTCGACCCCCTCGACGTCGCGGAAGTCGACGACGGTGATGTGCTCGTTGGTGCTGCAGTAGATGCGGTCGGGGAGCACCGTGATGGAGAAGATGCGGCGCGGAACGCGCGACACCGGGATGTCCATCATGTGGGTCCTCTTCACGTAGTCCCACACGCGCAGGAACGACGATTGCTCGCCTGCGCCAGCACACAACATCATGAGCTGCACTGCGTGTGTGTGCGTGTGCGGTGGTGTGTGTGTGGTACCGGTGACGCCGGCCACGAGCTTGTTTTCGCAGAGGCGGATGTCGTAGACGATGCCGCCCACGCTGAAGGTGTGCAGGCACTTGAGCGTAGCCAAATCCCACACGCGAATCGTCTTGTCGTCGCTTCCGCTCAGCTGACACCACCCAACCCAAACACGTCAGCGCACGTGTTTGTGTCCTGTAGCACGACACGCGGGTGCGGTACCACGAGGTCGCTGTCTCGCTTGACGGTGGTGACGGTGGCGCGATGGCCGCTGAAGGTGCCGATGACGTGTTGAGCGTCGACGTCGTAGAGATAGAAGTCGACCTCACCCACCGCCGTGCAGATGGCCAACCGTTGCATGTTGGACCGACCGCCAGTCGACGCCGAGAGCGACAGCTTCGACGATGACGACGACGAACCCGCCGCGGGCTCTGTCTCCGCCTCGTTGTCCTCCTGTTCGGCCATGGCGGCGGCGTCTTCGTCGTCGCTGGCCTCGCCCTCAAGCCGCACCCGGCTACGCGGGATCGGGAGATCGGTGACGACACACCGCACATCGAACAGACCGCTGCCGTACTTGTGCGACGCCAGCTCTACGCCACAGCACGCGCACCACGAAATCTGTCACTTCTCACTCTAAATAGGATGCAGCGGGTTCGCGCGTGTGTCGTATGTCGTGTGTGTGTCGTACTCTCGCCGTCGCTCAGCCGCCACGCGATGAAATTGCCGTGCTGGCCGCCGCTCACGACATAGTCCTCCTCGATCGAGAAGTCCACGCACCACAGCGCCGTCGGATGGCCCTTGAGGGTGCGGACCACCTCCATCTTGCTCAAGTCGATCACTGCAACGCACGGAGAGGTCATGTGAGCAAGAAACAAAATATAAAATAAAATAAAGAATAAATGACATAAAATAATTATCAAGTATTATTTCTACTGTATAATAAATGAAGTAAAATGAAGTAAAATAAAAAGATACCCTTGGCGGTGCAGTCGGTGGAGGCGGTGATGCAGGTGTCGCCGTGGACCTCGAGCCACCAGATGAAGTCGTGGGCGCTGACAGTCTTCTTCTCCTTGAATTCGTGCCCGCTCCACAGGATGACCTGACCCTCGTCGTCGCCCGTCACGAAGTCCCAGCCCCAGTCCACCAGCTCCTCGTCCCCGTCCGCCGTCGGCCCGCCTCTCTTCGCCCCGCGGCGACCCTTCTTCTTTCCCTTGCCGGCCTTCTTCGGCTGCTTGGCCTTTTCGTCGGCGTCGGCATTGTCCGCGCTGGCGGCGGGCGTGTCGCTTGGAGAGTCGGTTTCCATGGGCGTGTTGTCCTTCTTGGCCTTGTTCTTCTTGCTGCTGGCGGACTTGCCCTGCTTGCCGCTCTTCCGGCGCTTCGTGTTCTGGGTCTTGGCGACGGCTTCCGAGACCGCAGGTATCTCTTCGCTCTTTTCTTCTTCTTCTTCTTCGCTCTTTTTTGCCTGATGAGCCCGCGTCTCCTCACCGTCGTTTTCTTCGCTCTTTGCTTCTTCGCTCTTCTCTCCCTCTTCGCCCATATCCACATTCACACCGGCAGTCTCAGCCTCGGCCTCGGCGTCGTCCTCGTCGTCCTCGTAGATCCTCTTGTTCGTTCTGAGCACCTGGATCACCGTCGTGCCCTCGTGCGGGATCTTGTGGATCACATACTTCTCCTCGGTCCTAAAAAGCAGCAAAGCACACAACCAAAGCCAGCCACCCAACACCACCCAACAACAAAGTCAGATGAAGGGCACACGAATAAAGGAGAGAGAGAGAGAGAAATGCACCATCGCTGTTCGAGGACCTTCTTCTGGAAGTAGAAGCGCTTCCAGTTGATCTCCCTCGTGGAGGAGGTGAGGTCGATCTTGGTCCGAATCGCAGGAGACAGGTTCGGCTTGCGAAATTCGCTCAGGCAGCGCTCGCGCCAGAGCCTGGCATGGGCACACACACCCGTGCGATTAACAACAAAACCAACACACAACGCGCGACACACACCACAGTCGCTCGCCCCATGTTACCTCCTCCAATCAACCCTATAAATTGGGGAGGATGTGCGTGAATTGAGTTCACCACAGAGAGGAGAGAACCAAACCAACCGTAACACGACTTTGGTCGAAGCGTTGGCGGGGGCGCCGAGTAGAAAAGATTTTGATGGTGCCGGACAAATAGCGAAAAGGGATCTCCGTGCGACCACACAACGAAGAGAGACGGTCGGTGGTGATGGTGTCAAAAAAACACACAAAGGAAAGAACGCAAAGGAACAAGAGCGCACACACGCGCACTGGCCAGACCGTGTGGCCGGCAACGACGTCAATCCTCGTTGCAGGAGTTCCGTGCAACCAGCGCAAAGCACAGAATAAAGATGTAAAAAGAAAAAAAGGGTATCTAACACGGGGGGGTGTGTGCGTACGAGTGGTCGGCGGCGAGGGCGTGGGTGTGGGAGGAGGCCAGGGCCAGGCTCAGGAGATCCGTCGGGGAGAGGTAGTTGCACACACGCAGGCCCACCTCGTAGGGCAATCCCTCCAACGTCAGCGCCTCCCCCTGTTCCTTGGTCGACCGCTGGTGAAAGCCCTCGCCGCTGTCCTCCCTCTACGCAGGGGCCACACACAAGGATGAGAATATACACAAATAAATGTAAATAAATTAAATAAATTAAAAAAACATATATCTCTTACACCAAATAAATATATGTTCACAACTAAGATCTTTACAAAAGGTACCTCAAGCTCCATCCTTGCTCTTTGCCTGTGGCAGCTTGTCGGGGGGCTGAAAGAAAAGGGCCAAGTGTTGGGTAAGAAAGAAAAACCTGACAGGTACCAAAAAGCCCCCCAAACTGGTCGGCGAATGGCGGTTCTCTGAAGCAAAACGTGCCACCAAGGAGAAAAGCCGCTCGGTTGGTGCGGCCAGCGCAACAAGGCTGGATCCAGACGTGTTGCGTGGCATGAAGAGAATTGGGAGATCTGGAAGGGCCATAGAGATCATCACGCTACAACCGTTCGACCGGGCGTCAGTGGTGTGGTGTGTTCTGAACGCGTTTTTCCAAACTGCCATGATACATACAGCGAGATGGCGGAGATGATGAAGTTGCCGCTCGTGCCAAGGCCCACTAGTGCTTGCTGTGCTTCTCGACGCCGAACTGCTTCTTGAGGAACTCGTAGGTGACGAAGGTGATGCAGTGCGAAGGAACGGACTTGAGGATGGAGGGCACGAGGCCGCGGTAGAGACCCACGAAGCCCTCCTTGCTGTAGGTCTGGGTGAAGACGTTCCACACGCCCGAGTAGATCTGCGGCGCGCCGTGCATGGACTGCATGATCATGCGCGTCTTGGCGACGTGCAGCGGGTAGCAGGCGAGCAGACCCGCCACGCTCGAGGCCGACGCGCAGCCGAGCAGCGTGATCACGCCCGGGCTCTTGCCCTCGTTGCGCTTGGTGTACTCTGTTGTGGTGCGCGAGCCGGAGTTTAGTAGCAGTTTCACGGCCCCAACGTAAACCGCACACGCGCACACGACACACGCGACACACGCGACACGCACCCCTCTTGAGCACTTCGTAGACGGTGAGGTCGATGCCGGAGTGCGGCGCGGTGCTGAGGAGCGACGGGGTGAGACCACGGAAGAAGGCCATCGGACCCTCCTTGGTGACGATCTTTCGCACCACGTCGGTGATGCCCGTGTAGGTGCCGTTCGGGGCCGCCGCCAGGCGGGTCTTGATCACTGCAATCATCGACCCGCAGCCACCGGTGAGTTTGGGTCGATTGGCGAGAAACCCACAGCGGGGACCGAAGGCACGTACCTTCGAGAGGGAAGGACAGGGTGTGGGTGAAGACGCCGGCGCCGGCGCCGGCAATGAAGCGTTCGTGGGGGCTGATGTCGGCGTCCTTCTTGCCGAAGGTGGCCTTGATGGTCTCGTAGGTCCAGAACTTGATCGCCTTCTCCGGCGCCACCTTGAGCAGATTGGCTCCATTACCGCGCCAGAAGCCCGACACGCCCGATTCCTGCAGGAAACCCACACGCCGGTAAGTTGGCGTGTGTCGTGTGTGCGGTAGGTGTGCGTGTGCGGTACGTCGTGCGTGAGTGCGTGTGTGGCTAACGTACCGCGTAGATCTGGCGCGAGATGGCGTCGATGCTGGGCTTGGTGCTCTGCACCTGGTAGATGGTACGGATGCGCTCCAGCGGAGCCGTGGCAGTTCTCGAAGTCATCGCTGCAATCGCGCCCGACGACAAGAACTGTTTTTTTTTTTTGTTGTTGATTGCCCAGTGCATCACCAATTCGCACATTAGCTTTCGATCGGGCGCGACTGGCACGTGTGAAAGTGCGACGAACAAACACGATACGTACCGCGACAGAGTCCATCAGAGTCTTGGGCTTGTGGGCCGGGGGCAGGATGACGCCGTCCTCAGAGTCAAACGCCATCATCGCGTCCTCCCAGTAGCGGAAGATCGCGTCCACGGTGGCCGAGGGCACCAACAACAGGAACGTCTGTCGACACAACAGGCACGACACGGCACACGGGCGCAGATGTTAGAACAATCGGCCAGTGGAAAGGGACGCGAGTTGGTGTTGGTTACCTGCCACTCGTTGAAGTCGATCTTGCCGTTGCCGTCAACGTCGATGCGCTTGATGAGCTTGGTGACGGCGCCGTCGTCGTACTTCATGCCCAGTCGCCGGAGCGAGCCGCGCACCTCCTCGACGTCGATCGTGCCGCTCTTGTCCGCATCGAGATCGTCGAACACCTTGCGCAGCAGCTTGCTCTGCGCCATCGCGAATGCCTCGAATTCCTGCGCACATCGCCACCACTCATCATTAGCCGCGCCGATCGGGCACCGCACGACGCTCGACGAGCAGCGGGGGAAGACGTACGAGCAGGCTGACGTTGCCGTCCTTGTCGATGTCGAGCCGGGCGAGCAGGGCGTCGACGTCGGCTTCGGTCGCGGGCAGCTTGAGGAGCTTGAGGCCGTCGTGGAGCTCGTCGCGGGTCAGGTGCCCGTCGCCGTTGGCGTCTAGCTTGGCGAACACCTCGCGCACCTTGCTCATCACGCCTCCGTTGTCGATGGTCGCCGCTTCCGTCGCGGTTGTGTTGGTGGTGGCTGTTGCGCTCATCTTTGCTTCTTGTGTGGCACTGGTATTGATTTTTCTGAGTTGTTTGTATGACACCAGACTGCCAGTCAGCCAAAGGTCGCACCCAAATCGAGTGAAAAACTTCGTCAAGAAGTGATGAATAAGCAAATATTTACATAAAAATAATATATAATTCTGTGACACTGGCGCTTCTGTGAAATCCTTGAGGTTTGCGGGAGGGGGGCAGTGAAAGGCTCATGGCTAGTGGGCGGGGGAGTACCTAGAAGCTCACGGGACAGCAACGGATAGTCGTTGCGGGGCGGTTGTTGGGGACGAAGGCGAAGAAGGAACGAGCAAGAAAAAGAAAATTGTTGGTCACTTTAACGTCGACATATTCATGCCAGGCATTCTTAACATTTTTTACACAAAATTCCTCGAAACAAGGAAGAGGAGCACATTAATCGATAGAATGAATGAGGGGGTGGAGGTGCTGCATGGACCAGGCGCCTCTGCCGAAAGACCTTCTCACAAGCGGTACCGTTTTCAACATTTCCCTGAGGTTGGTGATTTTGGCCAATCATGATTTCCTTACGGGGGGGGGCGAAAGGTCACGAAAGCAACTGGATGCTGGGAAGGCCTATTGGAAGGAGCGCATCGCCAAGCTCAACAAGCAACGCCCCGAGGTACGGTGAGCCCCTGCCTTGTAGCCACTCGCTGCGATTTAACTCCACGTGCCGAGTGCAGGCTGTGTCGGATGTGCTGCGCGGTGTAGTGGTGTACTTCGAGGGCTACACCGACGATGTGACCTCCTTCCAGCTCAAGAAGCTCGTCTACTCGCACGGTGGGGACATATGGTATGCCGCATGGTCCTTTGACACGCACACGCACACGCACACGCACACGCACACAACACACACACACCACAAGCGAGCGTCTGATGCATAACGCACTACCAGTCACTACTTTTCGAAGAGCCGGACGACGCACATCGTGTGCACCAATCTGTGTGACTCCAAGGCGCAGCGCGTGGGCCAGTCGGTCAAGGTGCGCATTGCTGCCCTGGCACTCAGGCTCTGCATAGACATTCGGCCCTAAGAAGAATCACCACACATCAGGGCGTGCGGGTGGTGCACCCGGACTGGCTGCGGCTCAGCTGCAGCGACGGCAAGAAGCTGCCCGAAGACAAGTTCCTCATCGTCAAAGACCAAGTACGCGCCCGCTCTGGTGGACTGAAGTGACCTCTTTCTTATCATCATCTCTTCTGGATGCCTGCTGGCGGCACGCAGACGATGAAGTCGATCGATTCGTTCTTTCAGAGGAAGGAGCCGTTGCTGCACCGGCCACCGGCCAAGCGAAGAAAGGTGCTCAGCCGACCATGGTCATGCATTCATGGCGCAACGTCGTGGAATGCACAATGATGCCGATCACGGACTGACGATTCTGGCCACACAGGGCGACGGAGAGGAGAAGAGGGAGTCGGAGCCGCTTCCGTTGGCGGTGGTCGAGCAGCCAGAGGCGGCCGAGGACTGCGACGACGGCAAAGGAGAAGAAACGAAGGTCAAGGAAAAGGAGAAGAAGGAAACGGAGAACGAACGAGCAAAGAACGAACGAGAAGACGAGGCGGAGACAGTCAAAAAAGAACGAAGACGACAGTCGCAACCGTCACAAATCCTCCACGAACCACAACCCAGCCGGAAGAAGAGCCGAGCTAGAAGCTCAGCATCAAATCACATGGACACCGCTCCGCCCTCTACGACCACCACACCTTCTTCCTCTTCTCTCCCCTCCTTACATCCAACACCCTCGATCGATATCCCTCGGCCCGCGCCTTCGCCCCAACGATCCGCTGGAATGGCAACAATGCCGCGCGCTGCCTCCCGCCCGTCGGCACCGCCTCATCGCAATCTTACGCCGCCGGCTGCGCTCACGCCGTTGGCGCCGCCCGAGCCACCTCTCGTCTCGCTTCGTTCGCCACCGCCCCTGCTGCCATCCCGCCCGTTGACGCCCTCGCCGCCCAAGCCCAAGAAGCCACCACGCAAGCCAGTCGACCGGACGTCCCTCCACCGCTTCTCGCCCAACAAGAGCTTCGTGGACCAGTTCCCCTCTGCCCACACCCTTCCCTTCGACTGAGCCCACACACACACACGCACAACACACCACAACACACACACACACACACACTACACACAATACGAACACACACGCGACGCAGTTGTACAATACAGAGTAATTATGATAAATAGAAGAGCACCATCCACTACACTCGCTCACTCACCGTGGTGGTGGCGGCTTCCTCTTGGACGCCTTGCGATGCAGCTCCTCGCGCATCTTCACGCGTAGCGCCCGCATCTCGGCTCGGAGGCGCTCAAACTCGACTTGACTTCTCTTGCCTGCTTCTCGTTCTCGGCGCTGCATCCGTACCTTGGACGGTGTCGGCTCGAGCTTGTGCTGTCGTGGCTGTGGGGCATGTTGATGTTGGTCCCGGTGTCCAGACGCTATCGTGTCTTCTTCTTCTTCTTCTGTTACCTGCGCCTTGCTCTCGCAGCCGTCCACCTCCTCGCCCGCTATCGTGGCCTCATCCTCCACCACGCGTTCCTGCGGACAAGGGAGATGCCCTTCTTGGTCGACTTCTTCTTCTTCTTTGATGTCGTCACCGGCGCCCATGTCCACAGCCTGCAGTATCCATTTGCAATCATCAACGCACCGCCACACGCGACTCTACGCAGCGAGATGCCGTAGAGACGGAGAGCCACATGCATTACATATGCATAATATATATAGAGTGTTTGGATTATATATGTAATTATATATGGAAATAGATACATGTATAGAAGATGCATGGCTAGAGAAGCAGCTCGTCCATGTTGTCCAACTGCTGGGCAGGAGGTACCATCTCGGATTCGGCCTCCTCCTCCCCGGCTGGTCGTCGTGGTATGGCATGGGAGTCGATCACGATCGGCAAAACTGTGGACACACACACACACACAGAGGTGAGAAGAAGAACAACGCAAAAACAGCAGCTCACGACGATCGCATCCGTGTAAGCGTGCGAATAGACTGAGAAGCGCACGTACCGGGGTTGACGAAGCGTAGGCAATCCTCGTCTTCGCAGTTGTTCTGTTGCATGAAGTAGTCCTCGAGCAGGCGGGTCAGTGCGGCCATGTCCACACACCACCACCACCGGAGCCACCACCGGAGCGCTGCTGTTGCTGCGGGGACTGCTCGGGACGCGCCCGCATCACAAGAACGCCGTCGGGTCGTCGCGCCAGCTCGCGCTTGAGCAGCATCGCGTCGCTGAAGTTGATCATGGCCGAGGGCAGCGGGACATCCATGTCTGTGGCCGTCATCTCCAACGCCTGCTCGTCGGGCACGGTGTTGTACACCAGCATGCCTGGCGCACACGACACGACACGACACGTGAATTTCGATCGCCTCGACGAGAAGAAGAAGAAGAACCAAAGAACGAAAGGGAGGCGCACCGGCGACGTTGAAATTGTGAAGCTCTTTGGCCTTGTCTACAAAATTGCAGCCGCCGCGAGGAACGAGCACCACTCGCGCGAGCGAGTCGCCCTCGTCGATGTGGAAGCCTGAGGTTGTGTGTGTGTGTCGTGTGTCGTGTGTGTGTGTGTGTGTCGTGTGTGTGTGTGTGTGTCATTACATTACATTCAGGCCAGAGCCCGATGCGATGAGCGACTGACCGCCGAAGAGGAGTACTGGCGAATCAGTAGTTACGCACCTTGGCCCGGGCAGAGCTCGTGGGGCACGTAGATGAGTTCAAACGTATGCCCGATGAACGCAGAGAAGAAGGGACCGAAGAGGGCCTGCACGGCCGCCACTTCCACAGGTACGGTAGTGGTGCCATCAGCCGCACTGCTGTTGGCGGCGGCATCGCGCCCATCGTCGGCGTCACCATGACTGGCGTCAGCGGCGTCAGGTTTCTCGTCGTTGGTCTCATCGCTGTCGTCGTCCAGCCATTGACTGTAGTCCGACGCGACTTCGTCAATGTTGGCTTCGTAGGCCGTGGGTTTCCCTTCGGTCTCGACGTTGACCACACTCAAGATCACGTTCCCTTGGTACCGCTGTATCCTGTTCACCCGAGCACGAACGTGTGAGAGACGCGTGACCACACGTGCGGTGTGTGTGTCGTGTGTGTCGTGTGTGTCGTGTGTGTGTGGTCTGCTGACAATTAGAAGGAAGGAGCTCAACCCCGATGCTGCGTAGACGTTCACAGAAGTCGCCCCACAGCGTGACCGTATAGACGTCGTCAACGGTGAGCTGCGGCTGCGGAATAGGGCTGACCTTCCTTCGGTTCGTCGACGCCTTCGGGCCGCCGCCGTTGTTGTTGTTGATCTGCTGCGTCACCGCCTGGATGAGCTTCAGCGCAAAGTCGGCACCGGTGTCCGCGCTCTCGACTTGCGACAGCTGCGCCTCGGCTTCGGCTTCGGCCTCGGCCGCTTGGCGGTACTCGGCAAACATGGCGCTCAGCACGGCCTTGGGGTTGGCCTGATGACGACCGCCCACAAGGCCGTTGCTCGCTCCCCAGGCGGTGTGCGGGCACGTGGCGCTGACAGCCTCGACCGCGGCGGCGGGGCTCGGGCCACGGTGTCGGCCGCTCGCGGGCGGGCCGAGAGCCGAGGGCTTGTGGAGGCGGGACCACGAAGGCGACGAGGTGAAGACCGGCAAGATGTGGGCCTCGGTGGAGAAGACGATGTCGGACGCGCGAATGAATTCGTTCTCCTCGTCGAACAGGAGGAAGAGGTACTTGCAGGTCTCCGATAGGAAGTAGGAGTCCATGCGGTCCTCCAGCCGGCCCGTCTCCACATCTATGTGAAGCAGGGAGTGTCACCAACGACACACACACACACACACAACACACACAACACACACAACACACACATCACTGTCTCACGTACCTGCCACGGCAGCGTACCCGCAGGTGGTTTTCGTGCGTTGCAGGTCCGTCAAGATCTGCTCGCCGACCTCAAGGTAGAACGGGTCGCGCGTGGCATGGTAGAGCATGAGGGTGCTCTCGATGAATTCGGGCCGGAGCGGGTACCCTCTGTACAGATGGCGCGGTGGTTGTCCTGCACGATCGTGAGGCAATATAAACAACGTTGTACGTTTCAATAGTTGAGTTTAGTTGGTTTGTTTGGAGGTGGATTCAGAAAACGACGACGGACCTTGCTTGATGTTGAAGCTTTCGGGCAGCGAACCGTAGCGCTTCCACAGGGAATAGAAGGCGGAGTGCATTTCGACTGCATCAGAGACGTCGCCGTTGAGAACCTGTTGGTAGTATTTGTTGTTGTTTAGAGAGAGCAGAACTGGTGGTATGTGTCATCACTTCATCACCCACCACCGCCGTGATGTTTGCTCTGCGCTGAGAATCGAATCGGACCTGCACGCCGGGGAAGAAGGCCTGGAGACTGTCGACTCCGCTGCCGGCGACCGAGCCTGGCCACCGTAGAGCAAAGACGCCCTCTGTGATCAATACGGTCCGTGTGGGTAGTGTGAGAAGTGAAGAAGACGTACCGGTGGCCATGTGCACGTCGAGATACCAGTCGCCCTGCTTCATGTACCTCTTGATGGCATTGTACGACTACGACACAACCATTGACCATGACGTCATCAGGTCACATAGAAAACCAGTAGTTCTGAGAGAAATAAAGCCAACGCACACCTTGTTGTACATGTGCAAGTAGGATGGTTCGCCGAAAAGGATGTATGACTTGAGCAGGTACTCGTAGAATGAATCGCTGCCTGCCCCGATGCCGGCATGGCCCGCAAGCCACCGGCCCTGTATGGCGGTGCCAAACCCACAGCACCCACAATGACAGAGAAAGGGGAAAAATCAGACTGGGTAGTTTACCCACAGACCCCCGCTCCCTTCGCCCTGCAGGCAGACGGGCCAGCGTACACTGTGTACGTCTATGAGCCCTCCGACTAGGTTCGTGCGCGGCTCCCTTCGCTGCCAGAGCGCGTGCATTGCGTTGGCGGCCGCCGCCTGCACGACACCGCTGTCAGGCTGGCCGCGCAGGAAATCTTCACACTGTGGGCGCCAGCGCTCGGTCTGCAGGTTGCTCGCGTACCTCGTACTGTGGGTCGCCGGTCAAGCGCGAGAGGGTTCCAAACTCGAGAAGCAGCGTTCCTCCTCCGGCCAGACAGGTCGACGTCGGCTCGCCGCGCGGCACGCCGTGTCTTGCGTGTGCGAACACACATCCGCGTT